ATACTGTACTGTATTGGATTTCAAGTTGAACAGTAAATAGGCCTACGAGTTATTTTTGTGTCGGGAAAAGTATGTATAACTTGTTAATTATTTATCTTTTGTAATAATTATTATTATCAGTGTATTTATTATCTAATTGTTATTGTTATTACCTACAGAATTATTTTCATCATTGTAATCACTATTATAGTGAATATAATTATATAATGGTTATGATTTTATTTTTATTGTTAACAAGGACCGAAATAACAGTTGTTATTAATACAAAAACCAATACAAAAAAAGTTGTTATTAATACAAAAAACCAATACAAAAAAATCATAAAATCACAAGCATAAAGAATAATTTAAAAAAAAAGGGAAAAAAAGAATAATTAGCTGAACAAGGGACAAGCAAAAGCAGAACCACTGTCATTTCATCTTAGAGATGACGTGCTGCTCCCAGAAAAAAAGAAATAAAATAATAATAATAATAATAATAATAATAATAATAATAATAATTATTATTATTATTATTATTATTATTTTATTATTAATATTATTATTATTATTATAATTAGGCCTATTATTATTACAGTATTATTATTATTATTATTATTATTATTACTGTATTATTATTAATAATAATAATAATAATTAATAATAATAATATAAAATCAATATCAGACGTTTAAAAATCATTAAAATATTTTTTTAACTTACATTTAAACAAAACAAAATTAATAGATATAATGAAATAATTTCGAATATCCGGATTGAGGTTATATTGACAAATCTAGTTGGAATTGAAAATTTCGAAGAGTCCGTTTTAGATTTTAAATGTTTTAATGTTAAAAGTTAAGGATGACGATTATTAATAATTAATTTTAAACTCGCATGGGAGGAATAACGTAAACGATAAATATTTAATAGGCCGATACTAAAACACTGTAGTCACTTAATTTTTCAAAAGACATAAAATTTGAAAGTGTCTGGTCTTCCCACAAAAAATTGTTTCTAGGGTTTTGATTATAATTATATTATTATTGGTTGCTGTTATTTTAATTCCTCAATACAATGCTCATAGTGGAATACTGGGCAAAATCATCAATCCATCACATAAATGCCCTCCAGTACGTCCCGCTAATTTTATATAAATGCCCCGCTTCGAGTTCCGCATATTTTTTTTTTAAATCCTAAATTTAATTTTAGAGCACATTACTATTTTTTATTCTGATCGTTTCGAAATATTTTGCCAGGGCAAACATCATTTCCCACTTGTAGATTTGCACACAGATAGTCCGTATACCAATTAGTAGTACTGTACCCTCTTATCCAGGTTCTTGGTAGTACTGTTCTCTGTACTATGTTTCAATTTCTATATGACAACTGATGAGTGGCATGTCTTAGGCCCTACTGTATAAATATATATGCCAGAAACCGATGATGATATCATAAGTGTATGTCTACGAACGATGCATTGCATGTTATGAGATATAATTAAATTAAAAATTTAATTCTATATCTATATTCTTCACTTTTGAATTTGCAATTAATTTTTAATAACTTTAAAATAAGTTCGAATGAGAAAAAATATTCCCGATATTAAAAAGTAAATAATATTTTTCCTGTATTCAATAATAGATCCTGTAATTGACTCAATTATCTTTATATTTATTATAACATTGCAAATTTCAATAATAGATTTAATAAGGAAGAGCCCTCAACCGATGGTATTGTTACAACTAAAACTGTCTTTCAAACTGTCGGTGAGGATTACAGTATATGGGAGGAGCAGAAAGATGTAGACGGTATGATTCTATAAATAAGAAACTTGATGTACACCGGTAATGTCGTTTAACAACCTTCAGAACATTTTAAAATATTTACAATAAATACTTAGGCCTATTTTGTTAATTCAATTTGATTCATATTTTTTCAATAACTTCTCATTGTTGTGCCATAATTCTACAGATATTGAACGAACTAAACAGGTACGCGAACACGCTATCGCTACGAATGTAGCAAAGACGTTCGATTTTACTGCTTCTACGTCCTCATCTGATCCCAGAATATTAGCATCTCCATCTACGTCCGCATTTGATTTCGAAGGAACATCAGCTGCATCTGTATCAGAAATTGATCCCAGAAAAATGTCATATTTACCCCCTGTGTTGATCAGACGGTTTAAAGGTATATTTTTATTCATATTAATCTAGTTTT